GTCATTTCTCATTCTGTAAGAAATATTATATTTGTTTACTCTGAAATAAGAGCTGTTCTACTAATTGAATTTATTCTGCTTTTCTTGTTGTAAATGGTGTTATTTTCTGTTTCAATACCATGGAGAGCGTTCGTAAAATAACACTCGGAAATCATTTCTTAATATGTTTTAATGGTTGGAAAATATTTATATGATTCTGTGGAAATGATATTAAATTGAAGTTTATACTTTGTATAGGAATGTGTTGAAATTCAACTGAAAAATTTGTCCTATAAATGAATAAAACTAAAAAAACTTCTTTTATAGATTGATTAATTTGGTATTCGAAACGTGTCTTAACATATCATATTCGACAATAAAGGTTTAAGGTCAAAAGCTAGAAAATAAATTATATAAGCTACTATTTATAGAATCGTTTACTCAATCAAGTGTAAAATCAAGTGTAGCGCTCAATCAAGTGTAGCGCTTGCAAGTGTAAAAGTAAGTTTAATTTTAGCATGTTTCTCAGCAAATTTTCCTCAAAAGTTTCTTAATAAGTTTAATATAGCATTTTTAAAATAAAAATTTGAAATTTTTTTTTTAATATTTTTAAATAATCATTTTTCAGACAATTACGTGGATTATTTCACAATATTCTGCCCCTGGTTTGCTATCACTCACCAACCGATGGAAATGCCAGATTGCATCACTCTCTCATTTCACCTCTACTTCCCATAAAGGAACGGATCTCACATGAAGTTTCATGAAATCAAAGTATTAAAGTGGTCTGATATTCCTTTCATGCGGACGTATTTAAAACTTGCAGACTAAAGTCAATTGAAAATTTAGCTGCTAATACCTACCTGTGTGGTTTGAACTTAATATTTTGAATGATTTCATAATGTATCATTAAAAGTCCAATAACTTTGGAAATAATGTATGAAAGATACTAGAAATGGTTAAAAATGTAAGACTTTATGTAAGTTTTACTAAAGAAATATTATCTCCGTCAAATTTTATTATTAATACAATTATATTGATCCGCGGTGGCTCTGTGGTGAAAGCACTGCACTATCATTGTGAAGAACAAGCGTTCGATCTCCAGTGGCGTCTCGAAGGCCCAGCTTCAGATGGATAGGTACCAGCTTGTCTAGGAAGTAAAGGCGGCCTGTGCGCAGGGATAACCCCATTGCCACATTCATACCATTTGTCCCGGAATTGTGGAGACTTAACCTCTGTGATCTCCATGGCCCATGACGTGTAGTTGCGGGAATGTTTTTTTAATACAATTATTTTATAAAGATATTATTAATTCCACAGTTAATTTTAATGAAGAGAAATGACGAAAAAAATTTATCAATAGAAAATAAGCTACTTAGATTCTCTCTCACACGTTGACAAAGAGAAGAGGTTATGTAGAAAACAGTTAATCAGTTAGAAATACTAGAGGAATGATTTCAAAATTCTCACTATATTAATTGTATACTTATGAGTCTCCAATTTGAAATAAGTACCAAATAATCTTTAAATTAAAGCAACAGAATGTATCACCTTGCAATATTGAAAAAAAAGGAAAAAAAAGGCGTAAATAACTGAATATATTATGATTTTTTTGTTTTAATTTTCGGATATATATAAAAATATCTCATAAAAAATAGCCCAAACTGTAACTTAACTTTAAAGTTTCAAAACTAATTTGAAATTGAAAAAAAATGGCAAGGTTGCTTTTATCTAAGAGTACGTGGCTGCCAAAAGTAATATTCTACTACCATTTAGTAATTTTCGCTAAACTGAATTCAGCGGCTCAAAGGAAACATGAGATTCTTTTATAAAATGACTTAAAAACTTACACACTTATCAATAATATTTTCATATAAAATGCTTTTAAACACTTTTCTAAAACAGTGCTTCTAAACAGTAACAGTTCTTTTCTAAAACAGTAAAGATTTATATATTTTTATCTAATTGTTTTTTGGATTTAAGAGGGAGAAGTACATACTGAAACAGTTACTTTTATTTTATAATAATAATAATAATAATAATTAATATTATTATTATTATTATTATAATTATTATTATAATTATTGTTATTATTATTAATAATAATAATAATATAGTAGTATTATTATTGTTAGAGAGAGAGAGAGAGAATGAGCTATATATTAGAAATTTTTCATAAAAAGTTTTTTCTCCGTTCACAGTAGTAATTTGTAAGATATTACATTTTTGAATGCTAATTCTTCTTGCATATTTCTTAACTCAAATGTGCCGAATAAATATCCTGCTATGTTTTATCGTTAGTAATTTTATTTAAAAAAAGTAATAATGAAGAACTGAAATTTAGAAAAAAATGAACTGCTAAAATCATTTTGTCAAAATACTTAAATATGTAAAAAGTACTTCTACAGTCTTGATCTGAAAATTGTCAAAATTTTGAAAGTCTATTTTTACATATTTCTTATAGCAAATGTGGCAATAGAGTTTTTCAATATATCAGCATTACGCCATAATAGTTTTTATGCAAATACAAAACTTACAGTAAACAATTTTTCGAATTAAATTAATGTGGACATTTTGCACAAATCATGAAATGTTTTTGTAGAATAATATTTAATCCAAAAAGTGCCACAATATATATTATTTCGTTTGGAAATAATGATTCTAAATTGCGACATCTGCATAGTGACAAAAGGCCTACTATTTTTTTTAGAAAAATGCACAAAATTTCAAAACTGATTCGGTTAAAAAATTCAAAATATAAAATTCCACGTTTTAACATCAGGGGAAAGCATTCTTAAATAAAATATTTACGAATGTTTGAAATAACATAAATAAAACGACTTTAAATCTCCCCGTAACAAATGATATGCAAAATTATTCAAAGCGTTTAGTCTAAAAAATACTTTTTTTCCATCTGTATTGTTTGAGATATAATTCAACAACAATAAATATAAAATATTTTGATGTTAAAGTCATTTGAATAGAAAGTTTAAAAAAGAGGTTCATTTTAGAATTTCTTGTGTAACAATTTATTTTAGAAGATATATTTTTCGTTCTTTTTACAAGTACACAAAAGGCCAAAATTTCTGTGAGAAAAGAAGACTTATACTTGGTTTAACTCCAGAATGTCTAAAACAAATGTCGAAATGGTCATCATCATACACATATGCTAAAATTGCGATCAATGCTTTAAAAATGAATGATTTACCATACTTTAGACAGCAGGTAATGGAGAATATTCGAGAACTTTAGAAAAGACATTTAGCTACTGATGTCAGTAATATTTCATAGTTGAAATTTCTCAAAGATGTTAAATAATCTAATTTTTAAGGGAATATATAACTGTTTAATAATGCTGCTATAGCAATACGGAGAAAGTTAAAACGTTAATACAATACAAATGTATCTTATATCATTAAATAACAAATTTGTTTTTAACCATTATAGCATTATAGTGTGAAGTGCATCTAGAAAAAAATTACTTTTGAAGATCAAACTTTTTGTTTTTAAATCGAAACTTGTTTAACTGCCTATGATTTTTCTAGAACTTCAAATTTATCACACAATTCTAATGTTCATTTAATGTGAAGAGCATCAAAAAAAAGGACCACATTGAATAACTTCTGATCTAATGATAAAATCTTTACGTTCTAGGACTCAAGCTTAATGATTTGAAGGGGAGCTTCAAATATGATAAGTTACACCTTAAATTAAACCTTAAAATTCAAAATATTTCCTACTATTATAAAATGAAATAATAAATACTTACTAAAAATTATTTTTGCGTGGAATCCTCCTTGCATAAACAAATTTTGTAATTCTTTGCAGAAGTTTTTCAATTCGCTTAAAAGTCCTATTTGTCACCTTCAGTTCAGATTACTTGTGTTTAAACACAAATTCTATTATTCTCTAATCGCACAAACAATGTTTCAATTTTTATAGTTCAGTTTAATTTAGCAGTTGATGGTTATATTATCTTCATAAAGACTGATAATAGGCTTCTTGGCGTAATTGGTATGCTATTATAATTTTTATAACTAATTTTATGTAATTAATTTTGCGTTTTTGTTAGTTGTTTAACTTGCATATAATGCGTCAAAATTTTCTTATTATGTGAATCTTAGACGTCTAAATTATGGAATCATAAAATATACACAAAGCCATCCTAACTGAAAACAGGCTACTGTGGCATTATTAAGTTTACGAAAAAAAAAACCTTATTTGTGTTTATTACTCAGAGAAAAAAATTCTGGTAAAATTACGGTACTGTCTGGTAATGACATTTTTGTTAAAAATAATCATAATTCTGGTTAATAGCTCAAAAGTGTAAGGGATTTAAAATATTCATTTGGTAAACTTTTTCGCTCAAATGGTAGCTCTGTACCGATTTTTCAAAAGTATACTTCATATTACCACACATTAATAAACAGTACCAAACTGAAAAGTAAATTTAACCAAATAAATTGCTTTTATATCCATGCTCTTAAGGTATCATGACGAAATTACCAAATTCTACCGTATTTACTAAATTTTGTCGCTTATTAAAACTTACTTTATTGTTCCAAAATCACTGAATAAAAATCATCACCAACGTGCTTCGGTAGAAATGACCGAGCTTTTAGGTTTCTTCATAGAGCCAGAAAGACGGTAAATTTTACCATATTATGGTAGTTCTGACCATTTTTTTCCTCAGTGTATAACTTTACATATTTGAAAACCTATCCTTAGAATTATTGTTAGAACTTAAAGATGCAGGCTTTTATGATATATCTTTTAAAAAATCACACCTTTATAAAAATTATCAAAACTTTCACAAAAACCTGAAATCATTAGAGTAACTTTTTGTTAATAGAGTTTTCCAGTTGTGATTGCTTCGACAAAACTTCAACAGCTATCGATAAGTTTGTTATTATGAAATCTATATATATATTGCTATAACATATTTATTGTTTGTTAACAAAATATTTGAAATTTTGTTTTAGAAATTTTATTTTACTTTTCTTATGAAATATTATCTACAGGTTCTCAAGAAATGATATACGTGTAAATTGCAGTTCTGTTGTGAACTTTTATGCAGTCTGAAGGGTAAGCTATTTCGTTTTAAATTTTTAAATCAACTTTTTTTAATAATTAAATATGCATAGCCTTGTTGTAATTTCTAAGGAGTTAGCTAATTAATACTGATTATTTCTTAAATGTACTAGGTTAACAGGACGATACCCTTAGAGAGTGATCCTCTTCTTTCTGTAGAGTTATAAAATCACAAAAATTTTAGGAAATAATTTTTAATGTAATCTTTGATTAATAATTGGTCACTAAGGCAAGAGGAGCGATTGCTCATGTTTTCCAGTGGCACCATCTATGGCCAGGAAAAGTTATTTTTAATGAAATAATATTTACTTAAGTTTTAATTTTTTTACATGCTTATACAATTCCAAAAATCTAGTAAAAATCTTTCTGCGTATTTTAAATAAATTAAAATGAATAATCCCAAGAAACAGAAGCGGAAACACTTACTTCATATTAGAAAAATTTCATTGACTTCACTGTGAAAAATAGACACTCAATTATTACTCTTCGTTTTTGACGAAACCGTTTCTTGATATATACTACGACAATTATCAGTCAAAATGAAGAAATAAGCTTCGCCAAGGATACGGACTTTTTCAAAATTAAAGAAATATTTCCTCATTCCACTTTTTTCCAAAAAGAAATAAATAAAAACCTCCCTTTCTCTAATAATCACTTTAACGTGGGTGTGCTCCCGTCAGACCAGATGGGAATTAGCAACAACGTGGGTGTCATGCACAACACAACTAGGATAGATAGAACAGAGATAAATTACACTCACGCCCAAAGCGGGAATCGTACCCCGGATCTTTCTAGGGCGAGGCTAACTCCTTGACTACCTTCCAGACCGGTCTGCTTAATTTGTCACTTTATTTTCGATTGTCTACTCTTTATTCTAGTTTAGTAATTCTAGATAATTATCTCCCACAATGCACTACAATTTCGTTTTTAGTTGAGGAAACATTTTCGTCATAAATTTGACAGTTATTTCATGACAAAATGATTCTCAAAATGAACGAAATACTGGCCAAGGATTGCTGAATCGTCAAAAGTGAGTTTTATTTCTGGGAGTCTTCAAAAGATCTTAAAGTGGAAAAAGTTGAAACTGCTCGAGCGTTTAACACGTGAATGACACTAGCATAAACACACTGTCTCTCAAAATTTGAGAGCTATTCCAAATGAGGGAAAATATTGGATATATTCTCATCTCAGCTATGGTGAACACATTCACTTCATTATTTCACACAGAAAAACACATTCCATTTATTGTTTCTTTTATTATATTTTAATAATAAGTTTATCACCTAAAATACTGATAAATTGGAACAAATTGGATACTTGTCATCTGTCTTTTACGCCAATCAGCAGTTCTTCAAACAGTAGCATAAAGTAAGAAAAATAATTTTGTTATTTCTCTTACTTAGAAAAATAAATTTGTTATTTTTTTAATTAAATGTTTTTTTTAAATGATTCTAACTCAATAAGAAACAAAAATGTAGAATTCCATAATGGGCAGAGAAAATGCTGTTAAACGTAAATGCTAAAAAATGAAACTAATTCGGGTTAACTATCTAAAGTTCATTATCCACACATTTATAAATGCATTGGAAGTTTGCGACATCCTCAACCCCTGATGAAAATTCTTTCGCTACTTCCCTGTTGATGAGTTTCTCTAAACTTCCTCGTCATGCTATTTTGTGACATTTTTTACTTGATCATATTTTTTTTTCACATGAAGAAATGAACATTGATTCACCCAATTATTTTAATATAGATTTCAGAATACAGTGTTCAAACTGCATATTTTTTTTGGAACAAAATTTATTCCTGTGTTACACAACGGAATCATTTATATTTTATTTTATCTCATTTATATTTTATTTTATGTCAAATTTACACAAAAATGTATACCTTGAAGTAATCATAAAATTGCTAGTTATTGAATATTTCCTTCACTTGTCTGATAGCGCATCTAATTCTTTTTTCACACAACACGCACTGCATGAATTACGGAAAAATGGAGAGAATAGTATTAAAAATAACCTGCAATCATCATAAAGCTCTTGTCAACGCAGGAATCTTATAACCTACTTTGCGGTGAAAAATTCAAGTACTTTACTGGAAAATAAATAGGCAGCTGAAGTGTGCAATATTTCAAAGAAACGCTTCTGAAAAACAGCTAGTAAAGAATAGAACATTGCAGATATGTAATAAATGCATGCAATTATCGTTTACTTACAGAAAAATATTAAAACTATCGACAAGCCACTTACAACGTAACATTCTATATACAGTTTTAGATTCTTTAAAACTTGAACAGTCTTATCTGACAATTATTTTACAGAGAAATGTACGTTTGCGAACAATAGAAACTTATTTTTTGTTTTTATTGTTTAAATTTTTCCGTGGGGAATATTAAGTTCCGTCTATCAGAATTCTGATAGTTTTTTCTTTATATAAAAATGCGCGAGTGAACATAATTATTAAAAACAATACTTGCAACCTCAAACTAAACGTCAGTCAGATATTCATAAAGTAATAAAATATTTACATATTAAATAATATGTAAGTCATTCCATTTGTGTGGTATGGGAGTTTATAGGGGACGATTCAAAACAGGTGATCACTGTTTCTTAATCAAAATAAAATCATGTGACGTTGTACTGTTAGAAAATTTGGAACGCATTGAGCCTTATTGTGCTAACTTGCTGCACATTATCGATATTAAGCAATATTTTCGTGTCAAATAAAACAAAAATTTGATTACTTGATACTGTGATTCAAACAGAATTATATGTTGATTCAATTTAACAGTTTTAACAAGTTTCAACAAATTTGAACGATATTATGGTTCATTAAAGAAATATTCCTAAAAGTGCACACTACACTGTAAACAAATACCGGATCAAGTTACGATACTGTATTTTTTACCGTGAAATCTATTTTTTTCATAAAATTTCACGGAACAATATATCTCTGATATGCCACAATTTTAGCAGAAAATCGAAGAAATGAATAACTGTAATTAAACAAATATTGCTGCATAAATTACGGTACGAAATTTTACGATGAAAATGGATTTTATGGATGTACCCAGAGCTTTTTATCGTACACTGTTAGAAATTTCTCAAAAAAAGGTTAAATAACAATTTATTTAATTGTTATGTTACCATATTGAAACGAAACAGTCAGATAACCATAAATAAATGGTATTCAAACAGTTANCAAAACTGAGTAGTTTGTTATAATATTTGACAAGCATTGATTTTCTTCGAAAACTGAGCGGTTGTAAGTCAGCCTCAAAGAGGACAATATCGTTGGGGCAGCTGTTACGTAAACCAGTAATGGCCACCGGCCATTACGGGTTTACGTAACAGCTGCCGGCCACCTCAAGTCCTGCATACTGCCTCATCGTGGCGGGGTGGTGTCACTGGGCGGAATGGGCGAAGTACGTCGGGAGTTTAATCTCCTGGTAGGGCCACCCTAGGCGTGAAGGCCATTCCACTATGCCCAGCTAAAGTATGCAGTTGAAGGAGCTGAGTCAGCCTTCTGCCTTTTGGTGCTCCGGTCTTCATTGATCACAGAAGCTGCACTTCTTCTACATCTATGACTTCGGAAATTGTTATGTTACCATATTGAAACGAAACAGTCAAATAACCATAAATAAAATGGTATTCAAACTGTTAACCGTGAGAAAAATGGCTTATAAACTGTTTTTTAAACCTAAAACGGTTAAAAAAAACAGAATTTTACGCGCCAATTAGGTCCACCTAAGAAAGCCACTTAGTTTCTTGCAGCTGGGTATATATTATAGCCGACAGGGCTGATCAGTTAATCTCATGACCGACAGAATGGGGGTCGAAATTCAATGGAGACACCACATTATTTCCTCTGATCCAGTGTCCTGCATTCTTCAATTGGAGACCCTGGACAATTGGAATGCGATTATATCATTCACTCATAGATAGCCGCAGCATAAAGCTGATTAGCACAAAAAATCCTACATTTCTCATAACAACATTCCATGGTACCTTTGATAAAACACAACTCAACCACAACCTAACTTTAATGCCCATTACCAAGCAAAAAGCATAGTTAAATTTCATTTTTATGATTTTAAAACCGCTCTGGTTGTAAATGGCTAAAAAAATGAATATAAAACTATACGGTTTAAAAACAGTATAGTTTTGCATTTCTAACCGTAATAAATACAAACAGTTAAAACCGTACCTTATGGTTAATTAATGGAAAGACTTCTGCCGGTTATTTTTCCATAATTTTAGAATGAATATTCTAACAATGTAATTTTATTCATGAATTTTTACAGTGTAGTTGTCAAAAAGTAAAGCCCTTACATTAAATATCTTTAAATAAAACTTTCTTATACTAAAAAAAAAACTCTAAAAATAAATTCTAAAATGAAAACAAAATCTCTAAAATAAAGTCTATTTAAAACCTTTGGATCGAATTTTTGATCCCTTTAGCGGGATTCCTGTTTTCGGGATAACTATAAAAGTTTAAAAAATTTATGATGAGCATCATAGGATAGTTATTAACATTACCATCACCCAATCTATTAAGATCGCTCCAATGGAGTGATGGATTTTAGGAACGAAACTGCGCTCATCATTAGGCTCGACTTCTATTTTTTGAAACGAGTAAAAATATCGTTGATCATCAAATTTAATGATTTCTGCCCTCACATTAACTTCATCAATGTATAGTGTTACTGTTACCTTCGTAACGTTGTTGAAAAACGCAGTTAAAAAGTGAAGAAGCCTTAATAACAGCTGGTTAATGATAGGTCATATTAATATTGAGAAACTTAATGGGCTGATTCTGACTGTATCAGAAATGGTTTCAAGCGAAATGAGTACCTACAAATATAAATTTTCTTTGTAAATATGTTTGTAGTTTTTTAAAATTGTTTTGGTTTAGTTTCACAGAATGTAACAGAAAAATAATTTGTTCATAATCAGTGTTTTGAAAATTTGTGGTAAGTTTCGAAGATAGGG